CATAGAAATACCGTCAGTTCCGATCACAAAGCCGAGGAATTCGACTTTGTCCTTGTCGAACGAGCATTTCTCGAGTTTTAAGCATAGACCAGCGTCTTGGAGCTTGCTGAGAACTTTGCGGACATGCGCGGTATGTTCCTCAAGGGTGTCGGAGTAGATGAGAATGTCGTCAATGTATAGCACGACAAAGTCATCTAGGTAATCGCGGAGGACGTCGTTGGCGAAAGCTTGGAAAGTTCCGGGAGCGTTCATTAGTCCGAAGGGCATGACTGTATACTCGAAGTGGCCATAGCGGCAGCGGAATGCAGTCTTCCATTCGTCGCCCTCCTTGATGCGGAGAAGATTGTATGCTCCTCGCATGTCGAGCTTGGTGAAATACTTGGCTTTGCCTAGTCGGTCGAAAGTTTCGGAGATCAGTGGCAGAGGGCATCGATTGGGGACAGTCACCTTGTTGAGGCCTCGATAGTCGACACAGAGGCGGAGAGAACCGTCTTTCTTTTTAACAAAAAGGACGGGGGCGCCAGCTGGAGACTCGGATCGACGGATGAACCCTTTTGCAAGGTTTTCTTGAATATATTCGCGTAGAACTTGCAGTTCCGTTTGTGATAGGTTGTACACTGGTCCAAATGGCACGGTGGCTCCTTCGACCACAGGGATATTGTGATCATAGGGTCGATGTGGCGGTAGCTTGTCGGCTTGCGTCTTGGAGAATACCTGAGCATATTCGGCATATTTCTCGGGCAGTTGGACTGTGGGTTTTGATTCAGGGATAGAGTTGTCGTTGGTGGTTGCGCTGGCGAGTTCTTCGATTCGAGAGACGTCGAGCATGTATCCGACTCCTTGATTGGTCTTGAGGATCTGACGGAGTTGTGTATTGCTAATAATGGAGATGTTGGTTGCTGATCGGTTCTTGGCGGATTTGGATAGTTGGTTGGATCCTGAGGTGTACTTGGTGGGAACCAAAGTGGATTTGGGTTTGGAAGGTGGCAGAAGGATTCGGTCTTGTTCCTGGAAGGAAGGGATGGATCGAGGCATTGTTGATTGTGCAAGGGGGGAAAGCTTGTCGAGTGTGTGCTGATGGAGGCATGGCATAGTAATGGTTCGTTTCTCCCAGTCGATATATGGGTTGTGTGAGCGGAGCCAGTCCATGCCAAGAATAATGGCATAATTGCCAAGTGCAATGAGTTGAAAAGTGTGTGTGGAAAAGTGTTGTGAGTGGGATTGCATAACCAATGTGGTGGCGTGATGAGAGGTATGTGTTGAACCATTGGCAAGAGAGATTTGTAATAAGTGTTGTGCTAGTGGAAGATTGTGCTGTTGTGCTAGATTTTGATGAATGAATGAGATGGTTGCTCCTGAGACGATCATTGCATGGACTGGTAGTGAGGAGTTTTGGAAGTGAAGAGTAATTGGAATAGTAATAGGGGATAGCAGAGGATCATTTGGAGATTTGTTATACAGCTCGCCCAGACACACTCCAACTTTACTGTCTAGGCTGAATCTTTTTCCAATTGGAAAGAGATTGCATCGGGCTGGTCGCTAGTCTGTGTAGGCTGAAGGGCCGAGATCGAGGCTGTTGCCTTTGGGGCGTTCTTGAACGAGGGCTTTGCAGGTTTCTTGGGGCAGTCGTCAAGCCAATGATCTGCTGAACCACAGTAGGTGCACAGTCCTTCCTTTTGACGACGAAGACGCTCAGACGGTGGCAAAGGACCATGGCGAGCATGCGAGAGATCCATGTCCATCGAAGTGGTCGCGGGAGCTGAGGTAGCAGGGGTGGACGCGGTAGTTGGGGTGGATGAGGCTTGAGTGGTAGTAGAAGTGTGGGCAGTGGTGGAACGGGACGGAGTGCTGGAAGATTTGTTGCCGGAACGGGTCACTGCATAGCCGTACTGTCGGTTGTCGATGTCGATAGCCAATTGTGAAAACTCGGCAAAGGTAGGTGGCTCGGGGTAGTTTGCCATGGCTTCTTGAACAGACTCCTTCAGGCCGAGGCGGAACTGTGAAATCATTGCGCTATCATTCCATGCTGTATCCGCTGCAAGGTTGACGAAACGGTTTGTATAGTCGATGGCAGAACCGCGCTGTCTAAGTTGACGGAGTTGGGCTTCTGCTAGGACGTGAGCATTGGAGACTCCAAAGTTCTTACTCATAAGAGCAAAGAACTGATCCAGGTTAGAAATACATGCGGGTCTCTCCTCGACAGGCAACTTGAAGGACGGAACGTATCTCTGCATGTACTTGAACGCTGCAGTATCACCGAGGCGCGAGATAGCCAGCACAATGCGGTCGTGGTCGTTCGGATAGAGGGTCTCGTTTGCAACGAAGAAGAGTTCCAGCTGAGCCTGAAACCCTTTCCAATCTTCACGCTTGCCGGAGAAGACTGCGGGGGGTGCTACTTTTGGCCTCGAAGGGGAGCTATTGCTGGAGTGAGGTGTAGTTGATTGGAAGATGGCACTCACTGTGTTGGTGACATCGGTCTTGTGATCATAAAATAGTTTGCCTAGTTCTGCGCGAGTGATGGGTGGTAATTGTGACGTCATCTTCTGGACGTTGGATTCGAGGCTGAGTAATCGAGGGTTGAGGTTGACGGTCAGGCTTGTGAAGAAATCTTCGTTCGAAAGAATGAAGTCCAGCATATCACGGTACTTCTGAACAGTCTCCTCGAGTTCGGTGACTTTGGCTTGCAAGGGAGTGACCGTCTGAACTATTTGTTCAAGTGTGGCTACTCGGTCCATCAGTGCTTGGAAGCGCGCGTTGGCTGTAAGGATCTCACTATCGGGTAGCATTGTAGTTGATACGGAAAGTGAAGAGTTGTTGTAGTTTCTGAGGGTTGTGGGTTGTGTACGGAAGATGGTAGTAAAAGAGGAAAGAATTTGAAGAAGATAGGGTTTGGTTTTGTTGTGGAAAAGGCTTTTTTTTTTTTTTTTTTTTTTGAGCGCTGAAGTATATCAATAGAAAACAGACAAAGTTTGATCCAAGGTTCTTTAGGTGTATGACTTGGTATTGTCAAGAAAGCAGACCAAGCAATAGAATGAAGTAGATAAAGAGAACCTTGATCAAGGACTAAGAAATGAGTATAAGGAATAGGTTAAAGAGTATGTTGTATTGGCGATACCAAGTAAAGAGCTATAGATTTGCTATCTAAGGCCCTTTTATACTCGTTAGGGCGAAGTCACAAGAGCAAGCTCTTGTCTCGTGACACATAAGGACTGGACAGTAGATGACTGGAAACGTGCGATGTTCTCTGATGAGAGCATGATCAGTCGCGTGGGGTCTTTTGGCAGGAAGTACTATTACAGCGGCCAGGAGCACAAACGTCTGCTGCCTCATCAAGTCCGTCTAACGCCACAAGGTGGAGGAGGGAAGATGATGGTCTGGGGATGCATCACTTTTTACGGAATAGGAGACCTAAGCAGGATCCATGGGACGTTGGATTCGGAATTCTTCCTCACCTTCCTCAACGATTATGTTCTCAACTCATTCACTTGGAACGGAATGGATCCTTCGGAATCGATCTTTCAGCAGGACAACTCTCGAGTACATACAGCAAACGTGGTACAACAATGGCTTGCCGAGCAGGAGTTCACTGTTCTCGACTGGCCAGCCAACTCCCCGGACCTCAACATTATCGAACACGTTTGGGCTTATATAAAACAGCGACTTGCCCAACAAGAACAGGCGCCGAAAAGCTTGGATGAGCTCTGGGAACGCGTGCAGGATATTTGGAATAATCTCCCCCCTAACCTTCTGCCTGATTTGTACAAGAGCATGCCCAAACGCATAGATGCATTGATCAAAAGCAGAGGCGGTCCAATAAAATACTGAATGACCATGGCAGAGACGATGAACTTGAAGATCGTGATTTTCAATCAATTGATCAACCAAACCTTTTGAATTCAAAAAAAATAATTCATGATGACGTCATTGCCAACGTGGATATAGTTCCAACAGAAGCATGACCACGAAGTCTAGGAATCATCGAGTGGCATCCCGGGGTTGATTGCAAAGATGACGAAAGAGCATCTAAAAAAAAAAGTCGAAATCGCGTTTTGGTTGATCAATTGATTGGAGCACTTTAGTTAAGAACTGTTGCGGTACGGGTTTATTTTATTTATCCCTTTTTATTTAACGAAGAGACGCTCAACCAAGCACGTCACATGAGCCGATACTGTTTATTATCTGCTCTGTGGTGCAAAATAAAGAAAACAGACTCTTTCTTCTCGTTAATTCCATCCCCATACTTCTCAGAACTTCAAAAGATGATTCAGATTGCTTGATATTGTGGGATATGTATGGCATTTTCATGCATTGTCGGTAGGTGTTAGCGCAGGTGGAGGAAGATAAGTTCACTCGCCCATCAAAAGAGCCGGATCAAAAAGCAACGTCGCTATGAACGCTTGGCTGCCACAAGCCAGTTGTTCAGTTGAATAGCACTTGGAATTTTCGGCATCTTTCCCCTTTTTCTCACCCTGCATCCGTCCATCCCATCTTTTGCTCGGCGTCCTCCCATTTTTTTTTCATCTCAACTTTTTTCCGCCAATTTTTTTTTCATGTCCATCTACTTTTTTTGCATTCCCACTTTTTTTTTAAATGTCCCTCCCCAGACATTTTTTTGTCGCTCTCTCCCTAACATTCTTTTCCTTCCCCCCCTTGCGTGTTTTTTCTTTCTTTTTCTTTGTCCCTCCCCTGAGATTTTTTTCGTCCCTCCCTTTTTTTTTGTATTCCCATCTCTTTTTTCTGCATTTCCATCTGCATCCCCGTCTTTTTTTTTGTGATCCTCCCCCCCTTTTTTTTGCTTCCCCCTCTGTCTTCGTCTCCTCTTTGTCTTGCTGGCCTCTCCTGCTTATTTCTAGCGTCCCTTTTTTCCCCCACTCAATAGCATCTGTCGTTGTTTAGCTTTCACTCCCTCTTCCCATCTCTGCACCCAGGTTGTATCCCCCTTCTTTTTTTCTTCCTAGCTCCCCTCCTTTAGCACACCCCATTTTTTCAACAGGCCCTTGATGTTTTCTGTTACTGCTGCCTCTACTTGCCCTGATCCTTTGGCGGTCCCAGTTCTTCTTCCTGAACTCTCCAAGCCCAAAAGACAAAAACTCGATCTGTTTACAGCCCTCTTCACATATAAAAAGAAGTCGCACCTATCCAGCACCTTACACAAAAAACACATTTTATCCTACCTCAAGACTCTAGGCTCACAACAGCATTCACAACGCTCGCAACAACTACTGCAAGAACCACTACCAGTGCCATCGCAAGATCTGCCACACAAGAGATCTCCTTCACAGAACGTCCACAAGAACGCCACAGACCTCTATCAAGAACGCTTATAGAACGCTCACGAGAACACCTGTAAAACGCCCTGCACACTTCTGCACATTCTTGACCAAACGTTCGTAAGGCTCTGCGACATTGCTATCACAATTACTGTTGAGAGAAAGGAGTGTTGCTCATGACTGCATCCCCGAACATGCAGCTTACCGTTTTTGCCTTTGCCGCCCTTGCGTCCGTCGTTGCCGCGGCCGATCCCGGCCAGTGGCCAGCCGAGTGCAAGTACACGGATGGCGTCGCGTGCTACCGCTACTGCGCAACCGGAGCCGATGGCACGTACAAGACGCCGTCGGAATATGAATCGCTCTGCTACAACGCTGACCCGATGAACCCGATCGAAAAGGACTCGTACGAGTATTCGCGCGTGCACATGCGCCTGCCGCCGTCGAGCGGCTTTGCGCCGCAGCCCAACACGGAGGACGGCATGGCCGCCGACCCGTGGCAGTTTGACACTCGCTGCTTCTGCTTCCGCTCGCTCACCGAGGATGAAATCGGAAAGGCCAGCCCGGTCGCAAACATGAGAGATGACGTGTGCAAGTACCACAGCATCCGCTGCCTGCGCAAGGTCGAGCTCGGCGACACGCCCAGCTGCGCCGAAAGCTACTTCCGCTGCAAGGAGCAGAAGGATGCCGACGGCAGCAATACGCACGCCACTACGCTGCGCGCCGAGCTGTACCAGCGCTTCAAGGACATCAACGACATGTATGCCGACGCGATCCTGGCCGTCACGAAGCAGCAGACCAGCAAACAGTTTACGCCCGAAGACAAGACCAAGAAGTTGGCGGCCCTGGAGGGCGCCAAGAAGGAATTCGACACGCGCCGCGAGGTGTCGTCCGAGGGCACGGCGAATGGCACGCCGGTCAAGGAGCCGAAGGCTGAAAATTAGAAATGAAGATCCAGCAGGGCGGGTGTTCGGATCCTGATTGGATGTGGCATGCTGGACATCTCCCTGAATGTCTGGTGTCTTCTAAAAGGTTCAAGGCTAAAGCAGCCTTCAAGACAAGCTGTAGCCTTGTGCAGCCAGCTCCTGCGTCAATGGACATATCCACAATAGCAAGCAATGCCACATCTTAGAGATGCACAATTTTTAAAAAGAGCTCTCAATAAACAAACACTGCCCAAGCCTCTCTGTTCTTCCAAAGGAGTTCACCAAGCTTCTCAACCTCCAACCAAAAACACTACTTCATCTTTGCAAGCTATCCTTCCATTTGTCAGTAAACTCGATTGGAGGAAAGGAATTTGGAAGGTTAGCAGAGGCACTCAAGACCAGCTCGACTCTGATCACTTTGGATATCTACAGCAACTCGATCGGAGACAACGAAACCCAGGCGCTGTCTGAAGCACTCAAGACCAACTCGACTCTGACCACTTTGAACTTGATGAGTAGCTCGATCGGAGACAACGGAGCTCAGGCGCTGTCTGAGGAACTCAAGACCAACTCGACTCCGACCACACTGGAGTTGTACAGCAACTTGATTGGAGACAACGGAGCCCAGGCGCTATCTGAGGCACTCAAAACCAACTCAACTGTCACCATTTCACGCTGACATTTCAATATAAACCCCTTAAGTACATACACTGATTTTGTTACAAAACTAGAATAGTACCCGCGGCTTCGCTCGCGGGGGTGTTGGGTGAAAAAAAAAAAAAAAAAAAGCGAAATGGATGTGGTAATATTTATTTCTGTCTGTCACTGTCTCCCTTGATCCCTACCCTCCTTTTTTTTTTTCTTATGTCATTTTTTTTTAGTCACTCAGGGCAAGAATCTCTGGGTAAACAACATTTGTTGTACAGCCATATGGTGTATCGGGACCCTCCCTCTCAATCAACACATGCACGTTGTTCTTGTTCGTCATCGAGATAGGGCAACGTACAGTTGGCCATGGGCGAATACCGGCTTCTTGAGATAGATACCAACGGTGTCTAAAGTCTGACCTTGGGACTTGTTGATCGTCATTGCAAAGGCGGGTCGGATAGGGAACTGGAGTCGTCGGAACTTGAACGGCATATCGAGGTCAGAAGGGCAGATCGGGATGCGGGAAAGGAATACGTGATTGCCGGCATGTGTTCCTATAATGATAGTGGCTCCCAAGACGTACCGTGAGAGCGATGTACATATGAGTCGCGTGCCATTGCAAAGTCCTTCCTGTGGCATGAGGTTTCGAAGGAGTATGACAGGACAACCCACGGTCAATCTCAGGCAGTGAGGAGGGAGCGAAGACGACTTGAGGCTGTTCAGAAACTCGATAGGAAACAGAGCGTCCACCCTATCGTCTTCTTTGTCGATGATGGAGTCCTGCGAGAGAAACTCTCTTGATTCCCCTTGTATGGCTGACATGATGTGGTTGTTGACTTCATCGACGTTGTCGTTTGTTGGACAGAGCAGTACAGGAAGGTCTTTCCTGTACCTGCAGGACCATCGATGAAGTACGCCTCGGAAGAGTTCATCTCATAGGAGTGCTTGATTCGGTCGTATGCTTCCCTCTGATTCGCGTTGAGTGACTGCTCCATCATGGCGAAATCTTCTGCGCTGGGCAAAGGGTAATTCAACTCGTCTGCAATAAATGCATTTACGTTGGGACCATGCTGCTCCAGTATGACGGGCTCGGGCATGCCTTCGTAGTCGTGGAGAGTCTTGCCGAGGTTCCTCAGGAGAACTTGTAAGTGGATCAAGGCAGCATTTGCACGCTGGTCTGCAAAGGATTGTCGCTGCTCAAGGCTGGTAGCGTCACGTTCCCTTGGACGGAGATCATTAGACAGTGCATCGCGAAAGGTGGTCCAAAGCTGAGCAGGATTTGTCGGGTTGCAAAAGGCAAGAATCTTTGCAAAAAGGGAGCGGAGTTGGTATCCCGTTTGGCAGACTGCGGCATCCCGAAGACAGTTCTCCCACTCGCGATCATCTTGAAGCATGCCAAGGGCGATGCAGGCGGCCTTGAACGTGGGGTGGACCTCGTTTTCGACTGTTCTTAGGCCCTCAAACGATATAGGACTTGGCACCGAGAGTAGTAGCAACCGCAAATAAAACAGATCGCCTGCGGTATCATGCACAAAAAAGAGTCGGCCGACTGTACATCCTCTCTCTCTGAGCTTCCATCGCTTTTCCCTCTTGAGGTAAACGTGGGTTTGAGGAAAGTCGTGGTACTTTGATGGCGGTTCGTCAGGATGGTCGCGGTTATAGTCGAAGAATGCAGTCAGCGTACTGCGCTCCAGTGCGGCTCTCTCTAGGACATCGGCGATGGGTTCGTCCGAGCGGAAGGCGTGCATGAACTGGCCGGGAAGATGCAAATGCAACCTGGTGACGGATGGATAGGCACTGTGTAGGCGGAAACCGAATATGCGCCAAGAAGACTCGGAGGCAGAGACATAGCGACCGTCGATGAAATCAATGATCTCGTTGACTTCTGGCACAGGTAGATCTCCGGCTCCGGCTTGAGCTCCGTCTTGTGCCGGCTGTTGAACCACAACAGTGGCTCGATCATGACCCTTGTAGACGTACTTGTAAAGATACTTGACCGCAGTGGAAGAGGTGCAGCTCTCGACATTGATATGGGCACCATACTTTGCAGCCAGATAAGGGTTGTGCGGAACGACCCAACGGTTGTCAATCTCGAAATCTCCCCGGCCATCGATCCTGACTGTCCTTCCATCCATGCGGCGCCGGTACTGCGGATATCCATTTGGTCCGTTTGTGGTGGTTGCGAGGAAGGGCTTGGGATAGCCTTTGGTACACACGCCGTTCTCCATGCATGGAGAGTTCCTGTTTGCCGGTCCACATGGGCCATGGATCATGGATTTCACAACAGTCTCATAGGCGGCCGGATGAGTTGCAGGGTCAGGAATCTCGGCAGAAATGTATTTGTCGTAGTCCTCAGGCAATCCAGGCTTGTGCTCGGGGCTCATGATGAGCAGAATGTGTGCATGGGGGAGTCCACGCTTCTGGAACTCAATGACATGAATCATGCCGACGACCTTTCCGAGGACATGGTTTTTCAACAGATCATGCAGGAGTTCCTTCAGCTTGATGTGAAAGACGCGGGTCGTGCAGCGAGGATACTCTCGTCCGAAACGGTGTCAAAGATGGTTTCGAGGTAGTCGCAGTTGTTGGAGTGACGCTTCTGGGAATGGCAGATCCTTGCACTTGTCGTTTGCTTCCCTTTAAAGTATGGGCAGCGACGACTTGTTGACCTTTGGTGATCGTTTCCACGGCACCTGCTACACCTGCTAATAGGGGAAGAGGAGGAGGAAGAAGAAGCGATTGCATTGGGTGTGGTGATAGTGCTATTGATGGGAAGCGAGGAAGGAGAGGAGGGAGTGGTAACAGTAGATTTAGTGGCAGCCGTACGCCTGGTGGTGGTAAGGGAAGAGAACCTGACGGACTTGGTGGGCTGCGACCTTGTTGAGTTCGTCGCTCTAACCCGCTTGTATCCTGTAAAGGCTGTAGTTGAAGAGGTATCGATACTGGAGGTGGAGGTAAGAGGAGCACGGCGAGTGGAAGGCATGTTGAATGGTGACAGATGTGATGAAAATGAAATTTGGAGTTGTGGCTGATGAAAGACTGTAGTGAGGAATAAAGGAGCAAAAAAAAAAAAAAAAAAAAAGCACAAAAGCGAGGAAAAGAGTAGCAGCAAGCAAGTTATTAGAGAAGAAAAGGTTGTTGCTGGAGGATTCTAGAGGTTCTAGAGGACTCCCACTTTGCTTATTTAGCATTTCTTGGTCAGCAGATCCTCCTAGGGGACACGCACTTCGCTTTCTGTGGGATACGCATACGCACTTTTGCTTAGTCAACATCAATCAACAACAATGGGAGGTGAAAATTTAGTGGCGTTCGTCAGGCACACACACAGCACACACGATAGACATAATACAATCATGTGATTTAGGAACGATTGATTGATTGTGACTGCGAACTATATCAGGTGATCACTACAGTCGCTTTGTATTATTACTAGAACTAGAAAGGTTGCCCGTGGGCGATGCCACGGGTGCCGGAAGTTGCTGTAAGGGGGTCTGGGGTGAGGGGTGTAGGTCTTTGAAGGGTCTTTGAAGAAGAATCGTTTAAAGATACGGGTACCACTTGTCTATTACCTTTTTCCTTTTTCAAGTGTAGTGTGACTGTAAATTTTTCACAACTACCTGTGGCCAATGGCACGCTTGGGGAATGTAGAGCTCATACCTGTCGTTGTGCCATGAAGAACAATATCCCTGGTCCCAGCTGGGCCCAGCTGACCTCCCTTATTAGATAGTCATCTTAGTAGCTGGGGAGCCATCCCTCTGGCCTTGTTTGTATTTATTATTCTCTCGGGTCACCCTCACTCGCAGTATATTCAAGATATCCTTGACTACCCTTTGCTCTACATCACGCCAGAGGATTTCTTGCTTTTTAGTAGGCTTGCGAAAAGGCTTGTTCACAGCATACTGGCGCTTCGCGCTAGATAGCCCAGACGGCCACGCTCCAGCGGTCGCTTCCTTTTGCCGCAGGCGGCAACAGGGATCTGACAGCTAAAGCTTTGTCCTTACGAAATATTGGGGCTTTGCGCAAGAAAGTTTCACTGGTTCGGGCTACGCCCTCATATCCTCATATCCTCTTAGCCCGTGCCTGTACGCTCGCTGCGCTCACAGGATACTGGCGCGCTTTGCGCAAGATACTCTTGATGGCCTTGCCCGTGACCATTGCTCGCTTCGCTCACAAAGTACGGGCGCTTGGCGCAAAAAAGGTCCTCTGGTTCGGGCTACGCCCTCACATGATCTTCTCCCTTTCGTACCCGTGCGGTCACAACATACTGGCGCTTCGCGCAAGATACTTTCGATTGTCGCGCCAGGGCGCGCCCGTGACCATTGCTCGCTGCGCTCACATCCTCTTGAAAGCCCCTTGATTCGGGCTACGCCCTCATATCCTCTTAGCCCGTGCCCGTACGCTCGCTGCGCTCACAGGACACTGGCGCGCTTCGCGCAAGATACTCTTGATGGCCTTGCCCGTGACCATCGCTCGCTTCGCTCACAAAATACTGGCGCTTCGCGCTGGCGCTACGCGCAAGATACTGGTGAGGGCCACGGCCCTCACATTTTTTTAGTTCGGGCTGCGCCCTCACGTGATTTATAGAATCGTTATTTTTTTAGAGAGATAGAGACTAGAAAGGTTGCCCGTGGGCGATGCCACGGGTGCCGGAAGTTGCTGTAAGGGGGTCTGGGGTGAGGGGTGTGGGTCTTGGAAGGGTCTTTGAAGGGTGTTTGAAGGGTCTTTGAAGAAGACTCGTTTAAAGATAAGGGTGCCACTTGCCTATTACCTTTTTCCTTTTTCAACTGTAGTGTGACTGTAATTTTTTCACAACTACCTGTGGCCAATGGCATGCTTGGGGAATGTAGAGCTCATACCTGTGGAGTTTCCTGTTGTGCCATAAAGAATAATATCCCTGGTCCCAGCTGGGCCCAGCTGACCTCCCTTATTAGATAGTCATCTTAGTAGCTGAGGAGCCATCCCCCTGGCCTTGTTAGTATTCATTATTCTCTCGGGTCACCCTCACTCGCAGTATATTCAAGATATCCTTGA